TCACTTGCATTCAGAGGCTGACAGTTGAGAGGGCGATGCCTAGATTTGGAAGACAGAGCCATGAGGAGTTGCTGATGGATTAGATTAGAGAGTGAAGGAAGAAAGAAATTATGGAGTTCTCCATGGCTTGGGTGTAAATATTAATAAGAAGCTAATGACTAGACTTGAGAGAACCCAGTAAAATTATGCAGTGTTCCATGGTAGACATTTTATACGAAGTCATGGAAGAGGTACATTTTCCCTGGTCTTCGGGTCCATTTGATAAAGTAAATATGCTCTGAAGAAGAGAAATTTCCTTTTTCTTCTATCCAAAAATCAAGTCCTATCAAAAGCATCAGACTTGAGCCCTTGGTATCTGCTCCTCATCCCCCCCCCCTCCTCCTTCCCCACCCTGCCTGAACCCTTGATAATTTATAAATTATTATTTTTTCAGGTCTTGTGCACTGTCTGGTGTCTCCCCCACCCCTTGTCTGTTGTTCATCCCCCTGGGAGGGGGTTATAGATAAGTCATTGTGATCGGTCCCCCCTTTCTCCTCCCCACCTTCCCCTTACCCTCCTGGTATGGCTACTCTCAATATTGGTCCTGTGGAGTTAATCTGTCCTGTATTCCCTGTTTCCAGCTCTTATCTGTACCAGTGTGCATGTTCTGGTCTAGCCAGATTTATAAGGTAGAATTTGGGTCATGATAGTGGGTGGGGGAGGGAAGCATTAAAGAACCAGAGGAAAGTTGTATGTTTCATTGGTGCTATACTGCACCCTGACTGGCCTGTCTTTCTTCCCACGACACTTCTGTAAGGGGATGTCCAATTGCATACAGATTGGCTTTGGGCCTCCATTCCACACTCCCCACATCATTCACATTATGATTTTCTGCTCTGGGTCTTTGATGCCTGATACCTCATCCCATCAACACCTCATGATCACACAGGCTGCTGTGCTTCTTACATGTGGGCTTTGTTGTTTCTCAGCTAGATGGCTGCTTGTTTATCTTCAATCCTTTAAGACCCCAGATGCTATATCTTTTGATAACCGGGCACCATCAGCTTTCTTCCATGTTGGCTTATGCACCCGCTTTGTCTTCAGCGATCAAATTATGTCGGGAAGGTGAGCATCTCAGAGTGCTGGATTATTAGAACAAAGTGTTCTTTTGTTGGGGGAGTACTTGAGTGGAGGCCCAATGTCCATCTGCTTTCTTAATACTAAACCCATAAATATATGTACATAGATCTATTTTCTCATCGTCATATATATTTACCTATGTACATGCCTGTATTTAGATCTCCATAAATGCCCTTTGCCTCCTAGTTCTTTCTTCTATTTCCTTTTATTTTCCTCTTGTCCCACTATCATGTTCAACCTTCATTTGAGTTTCAGTAGCTCCTCTCGGTTACATTGCCCTTGATCAAGTCCTACCAGACCTCCTACACCCTCCTTGACATCGATTTTGGATCACTCGTTGTTCCCTTGTTCCTGGGTTTGTTAACACCCACTTCCTTTTCCCCACCTGCCCCTCTCCCATGTTTCCCCGGGGAACTGTCATCCTGTTGTTCTCTCTTCCAACCTATTCCCATCCAGATAGACATGCAGCGACAACAATATGCACAATCTCAAGACCGAGCACAACAAAGCAACAACAGAAAATAAAACAATAGTTACAACAAAATGGCAACAAAAAAAAAGAGAAAAGAAAAAGAAAAGCCTATAAATAGTCCAAGGTCTATTTTTGGTCCTTTACAAGTGATTTCCAGTGGAGTCTAATGGGACGCCACACCCTGGCCCCACAGTCAATTTTTGGTGTTCTTTGGGGACTTCATTGCTCTGTTCCCTTTGCTGCTCTGTTGCACACCTCCAGCATCTTGCCTTGGTGTGGTGGGATCAGGGCGGGCACAATTCCTGCCGTGTGTCTCCAGTGTTGTCCCCTGTGGTGCTATGAGTCAGTGAGGAATGTCGTGTCTCACAGTGGGGTTGGCCCTAGGGTCCTCTCTGTGCATTGGCTGCACTGAGCAGACATATTGTCCTCAAGGCTTGGTGGGCCAGGATGTGCTCTACTCTTTTTTCCTCCCCCCTCGTTGGCTCCTATGTGCTCTGATCAGACACATCCCTCTCCTGGAGCTGGAGCTTCAGTGCTGTCCTCTGACATGAGTTCTTCTGGGCGGAGAGGGGACTGACACAGCCTTTCTTGCTGACAGTGAGGAGGACTTGAAGCACTTGCAGCTGGAGATTAAGGCTTGTAGCCTTCAGTATGGATTGCAACTCAATGTAAAGAAAGCTAAAATATTCACAACTGGACTAATTGGAAATATTGTGAAGAAAATATTGAGTTTGTGAAGGATGTTGTCTTGCTTGGATCTACAATAAATGCTCAAGAAAGTAGGTAGCAGTCAAGGGATCAAATAATGTATTGCATTGGGCAAATCTGTTGCCCAATACTTAGTCAAAATGTTTAAAAACAAGGACATTGCTTTGAGAACTAGGAAGCACTTGACCCAAGTCATGCTATTTAAAATCACCTCATGCCCATGTGATTGTTCATTATTGAATAAGGATGAATGCGAAATAATGGAGGCATTTGAATTTCGGTGGGGGAGAATAATATTGAAAGTATCATGAACTAGCAGAAGAACAAACAAATCCATCTTGGAAGAAGTACAGCCAGCTTGCTCCTTAGAAGAGAGGATAGCAAGACATTGTCTCATATACTGTGGTCCCACGAGACCACCAGGAGAGAACTGTCCCTGGAAAAGGACATCAGGTTTCTGCATTCAATAAATCCTAACCCAGAAGCCTTCAGCTCAATCTCCATGGGTTAGTGAACTCAACTCCTTGAATGTTCCCAGAGGCATTCACTCCAGTAAGCCACAACTGGCAGGCACTCAGCTCCATCTCCGTGGGTCAGCAAGCCCAGGTGCTCCCCACCCCCACCACCATTAAAGGCCCAGAAGTATCCCACTTCATAAGCCAACCCCATGCTTCAAAGCACATAGCTACTTGTTCTGCGGGCTAGGAAGTCCACCACGCTGTCTTATGCTCTGACTCTTGGTTCTGCTGTTAATCGTGTGGACACAGCCATCCTCTGGGTCAAGGAGGTTCACTGCACAGGGATCTCAGGGCCCAGAGGCTGTGCTCCACTCCCAGCTCTTTCTGGTAGTGAACCCCACCCCTCCCACCTGTTTCTCAGAAGGCTTGTTTTATGTGCAGCAGGACGGCACTCACAATTATTCAAGATGAATCCTACAGATGTCTTTCCCCACTTCTTACCCAGACCCATGCAGGAAAGGGTCATTTGGTGAGAGTTCCAGAGACTTTAGGAAGAAGAGGCATATTAAATAATTCATTCTTCCTGCCCTATCAAACTCGCGGCCATTGTATCAATGCTGACTCATAACGACTTCCTGTGGGTTTTTGAGACTGTAACTGTTTACAGGAGTAGAAAGCCCAGTCTTTCTCCCACAGAGGGGCCGGTGGTCTCAAACAGCCAATCATGTGGATCACAGCCCAATGTGTAACCACTACACCACCAAGACATCCTCCCCGTTATAAAACACACATAAATGACAATGTCTCAGTTATAAATGATGCCACCCTTACATGGCGTGCCTCTGTGCTTTCAATGACATAATTATACATCATGGCCCCAGTTCTTTGGCTGAAAACTCTCCACAGGCTCCTGGTTTCAACTGGAGTGTGAGCTAAGGTCCTTAACAAGAGTCCCCTGAATCATCCTGGGTTATTAGATCTCATTTCCCATCTTTTTTTCTGTCGCAGAAACCCTGTACTAGCTGTGTCCCCTCTGCCGAATGCCTTTTGGCAGATGTGTCCCTGGTTCACTTCCTCAGAGTGACTACCTCCTTTAGTTTTAGTCCGTTATTTGGCCTTATTATTATTTTTCTCAGTTATCAATGCTTAACATTATATTCATCAGTCGGACTCTCTATGTGGATGGATATAAGCTCCGCGAAGGCAGAGGCCCCCCCTTTTATCCTTAGAGTTTAGAATGTGGCCAAGCATATGTTATATTCCAAGGAGACATACGGTGAAGGAATGAATACTTGAATAAATGAAGGAATTGGCCACTCTCACACCAGCCCTGAGAGGACTGTAATGCTCTCTCTCCTTGAAGATGAGGAGATTGAGCTTCTAGCCATGCACACAGCGTGCATCTGATCTGATTGCAATGCCTGTGATCCTTCCACTCCACCCACGTACTTCCCAAAGTTTGAGGAAAAGTTTTCTGGAGTACAGCCTGGTCAGTAGCTGTGCTGCTTCGCACTGGCACCCATAGTCAAAGAGTGAGTGGATCAAAGGGTCTTTCAATTGCTCAAAGAGGTAGACAGCTGCTTGTGTCTGTAGTGAGGATGACACAGCTTCCTGATTTGGATATCAGCCCAGACTCCTCTTCTCATCCTTAAACCAGTCTCCCACACCAATTACCTTCGCGAGTTTAGAAGAAATCTTGATCTGGACCTCGGCGTCATCACACCCCACCCCTTCTTGCATGCCTTGAAACCTGTCCATATCCAGGGGTATGCCTGTGGACAAGGGAGAGGAAATAGCTGAGCTCGAGGACCCAGGAGGGGCTTGAAGAGGCTGGCTGAGTGAAGAGAGGGCTCTGGACGTGAACTCTGGTGGAGGGTCCCTGGTTTATATGGCATTGTGCACACCCAATGTCAGGAGTCATTTTTGCTGGGTTTAGTCTGAGACTGAGATTCTAACGTTCCATGGGTTGACGGTGAACTCTTGGTGCTTGTGGGTGGGCAGGTGGAGGTTCCACTACTCGGGGTGAAAACACCCGCAGCAAATTATTTCCCTGGGAGAACTTTGAAAGTCACTCAGCATCAGAGTTATCATTGTTATCCGTGCAGTTTTCTCAGGAAGAAAACCGAGTGATAGAGGAAGTGCTGTCAATATGCCCAATTTAAATAGGCGGCTCTCACAGCATGTCGTCTACTCCAATGGGTCTTTACAGCGCTTCCCTGCGCTCATGCCTTTAAAACCATCCCCAACAAAACGGAAAGACAAAGCCCCCGAGGGGGGAAGGGTTTGAGACTCCAGGCAGACAAGTCCCGTGGCATCGCTGCTCTTCTTGCTGCTGTTTGTAGCTGCGGAGCCAGTTTCCACACAGGGTGAACCTGTGGTCAGAGTGCTCCCTAGGGGGTTTGGCTGTGACCATTTGGAAGGAGATCCCCAGAATTTTCTTCCATGGCTCCTCCGGGTGGGTTTGAACTGCCAGCTTTTCAGCTAGTAGCTGAGTTCTTAACCGTGTGCACCACCCGGGGACTTGTGACATATACGAGTATTAGCACTCAGAAACTGCTGGCCGAGAGGAGGAAGGCGAGGGGAATGGAGAGGGAAGAGAGAGGCATGCGTAGGAAAAGCCGGAGGGGAACCCCAAAGAAAAGCAGGGTCAGTTCTATTCCCTTATAGGAGTCCCATCTTTCGTTTCACCTTTTATGAAGAACAGCCCGATGGCTGAGCTAACCGCTGCCTTGCGGATGGTGGGCAGCGTGTCACAGGAGTGCGGAGCCAGGAGCCCGAGAAGAGCGCCAATTTTAAAGTTTTCTGGAGCCTGTGGGCGAAAGAGGCACCCCAATGTGAGGGGGTGGCCCGGGGTGTCCTGGGGAATTCCCAACACGAGGCATTCATCCCCTCACGTTCTCTTTGGAGGGTCTTTTTTAAAAAAAAAATCATTTTATTAGGGGCTCATACAACTCTTATCACAATCCATACACACATCAATTGTGTAAAGCGCATTTATACATTCATTGCCTGGAGGGTCTTAAAATGCAAACAGCATTTGAACTTTCTTCTCAAAATGCCCGACTTTTTTAGGGCAAAAGGAAAGTGAAGGCGGCAAAGAGAACCCAAGGACCACCTTCTGGGGTGTGAGCCCTGACAGGAATTAGGGGACATCTCTGGAGGGGCTGGCGGAGCTTGAACCTCCCACAGGCCTCTCACAATCAGCCCCCCACAGTGTCACTTCCTGGCTCACTTACCTCAGCATCATTTTCTAGTATCTTTGCGGTCAATTGAAAGGCTCTTTCTCTCTCCCACTCTCGCGGTGAAACAAGCCACATTCGGAGAAGCTGTTGGTCCAAGAATACACATCCTTTGCTTAGCATTCGTTAGAGTCCTCATTTCTCTTTCTTTACAGGGTACCCGCCACCCCACGGATCATGCTGAAGCGGCCTGGCCCTCTGCTGTGGGTTCAGAGGGTCAAGGGGTCCAGCGCCCAGGAAGAGGTCGAGGTTGAGTTGGTGGGCCTTACTGGAGGAGAGGCGGGGGTACGGGGGTCCACGTGAGAGGGGTGGGGTCTGCCTCACATTAAACATTTCATGGCATGCCTCCTCAGTCACATTGTCCCAAATCATCGTCTTCAAAAGCTTGCCCAGGGCATCCATGGAGCGTTCATACAGAAACTGAAAGCAGAGGCGCGAGTGAAGCGCAAGCTGCCGGGGCGAGCATCCAGCCCCACCGCGGACTTGGGCCCGCGCCGCTCAGCCTGCCCCCAACTTACTTTAATGTGCTCCTTGTCCTGGTCAGTTTGACCTTCATTTCTGAGTTTTTCCAGCGATGGAAGAGGCAGCAGCCTTCGAATATTCTCTTCAAGAATACTGAGATTATCTTTCAGGGAGAGCTGAGGTTTCAGTTTACTGAAATGAGAACCATACAGAGGCGTGGGTGCTGTGATGACACACAACACGTAGCCCAACCTATGCCAATCAATTCTAAAGAGGTCAAAGACATTTTGGGGGATGTTGAAGGTAAGTTTGGGATCAAACTGCCTTGGTGAGAATTGTCAATGTGCCTCAGGCCTCATTTATTAGAGTGATATATAAACCATCGCTCATTTTGTATTACTAAACATTTTATCGTATGATCTGGGATAACTTTAACCTACTTCCCCACGCCCCCCAGAATGTGTTTCTGTGCATGCAAGAGATCTCCCCAGTTAGATTCTAAGTCTGAGGCAGCAAGTCCTATTGATCTGCATGTCCTCTCTTTCTTAGAGAATTTTATCTAGTATTTCTTCATCCCTCTGGCTCCCTCTATTTCTCTGTCTTCTCTCTTCTTTCTTTCTTTCTACTACAGTCAGCATAAGGATATGGCCAAACTTGGACATGAGTTCAGAAAATGAAACTATTCCATAAATACGAAAATGTATTTTTATTAAACATAAATTACAACAAGAAGTGTCAGTTATGAAATTAGCTAAGAAAGAAAGGTATGGTGGGTGAGGTGGAAGGTTCAGAGGGGTACATATTAGTACTAGCTGGGAAACTCTATTGGATGCATTGATATATACTCAAGAGTCCTCTCAACTGTTAGCTTTTACTTTAGGAATCACCCTAGTGCGGTACAATCCATGCACAATACAATATGACCTACTTAACATGCACAATTTAATGAGCTTTGACAGATATATAAATTCATGAAATTACCACTACAATCAATATAGAACATTTCTATCAACCCTCCACCCCCCACCCCACCTCATGCCCCTTTACAGTTCATTTCTTCCATCACTCTTGGCTCCAGGGAACCACTGATCTACTTTCTGTCCCTGCAGACTAGTTTTCAATGGCATAGTGGTTATGGGTTGGGTGGCTTAGTGCAAGGTCATCAGTTTGAAACCACCAGCTACTCTGTGGGAGAAAGATGGGGCTTCCTACTCTCGTAAAGAGTTACAGTCTCAGAAACTCAAAGGAGTCGTTTTACCCTGTCCTAGCAGATGGCAGTGAGTTTTGCTTTGTCTCTGGCCCTGTCTGGCTATATGAATTAAGATGTGCTATACTATTAAAATGCACACTGGATTGTGAGGATTTAGTATAAAAAGTAATATACATGATCTCATTCATTTTGTAAGATCAAATATATTGAAATAATAATATACTGGAGGTTTGCATCAGCTAAACTATATTTTAAAATTAACCAGTTTTTTTTTTATTTTCTAAAATGGCTACTAGAAAACCACAAATGACATAGGTGGCTTGAATTATATTTAGAAACAACAACACTGTTTTAGATAGAATTTGGTTAGCTCTTAATAAAACCCCAAATGGAATCCACTGCCACCTACTTGATTCTGACTCATATTGACCCTACAGAACAGAGTAGAACTGCCTGCAAATTTTTATGGGACCAGAAAACCTCATCTTTCTCCTATCGAGCATCTGCTGGTTTCCAACTGTGAACCTTAAGTAGCAGCCTAACACATAGCCCACTATGCCACCCCATTCCTTTAGCTCTTCATAGGTTTATTTAACTGAGCTTTCCTCAACCCCTCCTCATCTAGGCTAACATGGAAACCCATGACTTCACTTATTGTGCCTCTAACCATATTTCAGAGAAATGATGTGGGTGCACTTTGTGTCCATTTTTACCCCGGGAAGGCTCAAACTCCCTCAGGGAAGGGCCATACTTCATTCATCACTATCCTTTTAGGACCTAGCTCAATGCTTTCTACAGGAAATGCCACTCAGAATATTTACTGAACCAAATTGCCAACTATTATCAACTAGAAGTCTAGGGAGTACTTTTTACATTCAACAAAATGTTCGACTAAGTATTATTTATAGATGTGAAAACCAGGCAACACATTAAATGTAGCAATAAGATGGAGATAAGGTATACTATGAGCTACTGGGAATTTATTTAAAATGTTCCTGAAGCCTCAGAAAGAATGTGGGAGTATATAAGATGAAGTAAGAAAAGGAAGGCTTAACCAATCATAAGCAGAATGGGATCTTAAGTCTGTAATAAAAATGAATGGTTAGAGAAAGAATTAGAGGACATATGTACAAATGTTAACAAGAGGGAAATGATGGGTGATTTCCATAATGTTTAGAAATTTTCTGTACTTTCCAAATTTTAGCAGTTAACTCTTATTTCTTTCTTGTTCTCTTTTTAAAGATGTGTTTTTTCATTCTTTCATGACAATAAAATATATTATTTTAATTTTTTGAAAAATATTTTTTATAAGATGAAATTTATTGGGAAATTCCATGGACTTTTCTGAATTTCTTCCAGACACAACACCTAGAATAAACAGACATGAACAAACGACACAGAAGGAAGAGAAAGGCTTGAGATCAATTAGTTTCAAAGTAGAATTATTGCCCCATCAGGTAAGTTAAAAATATTGCTACAAAAATGATAGAAACATTTATTAAACAGAAGTATGAATATGGGAAGCTACTGTTTCTTGACACATATTCCAGGTAGGCCTACATACTTCAGAAAGTACTGTTCCAAGGTCTCCGACCCTTCCCCAGAGATTCTGCATTCTTCAGTTTACACACATCAAAACAGAAGGTTTGGCATGCGTGAGGGACCCAAACCACATTTCCTTTAAAAGTCCTTTGAGTCTGAGGAACAAAAAGACACCTCAAGGGACAAGATCAGAGTTGTAGGGTAGTTGGGGATAAGTTTCCCAACTGAATGCTCAAAGCACAGCCCTGGTTACCCTTGAAGCACGAGTAAAGGCAGCGTTGTAATGAAGGGGGTGGGGAAATCTTCAGCACACTTTTCCTGGCCATTTTTTTACTAATATAGTTTTCAGTTTTCTTAAAACTTCTTTATAGTCATGCCCTGTGATCATCGCATATCCTTTGTGAAAATGTATCAAGATTATCTCCTTGGAATCCTAAAAACCAGTCACCATGCCAAGACCTTCTGAGCTGACCTCTCTGCTTTGCATTTAATTGGTCCAGTAGATTCCCTCAAAAGTAATTGTTTTGATTGGACCTTAGTTTTGGAAGGCATATCTCCTGTCAATTTGAGCGAAGGGATGGAATCTGGCCTGTCAATCAGGGCACACCTGGATGACCTCATTTGGATGCGCAACAGAGATAAATTGCCAGACTCTCTGCCTTCCCTTTCCTGCGGAGACACTCAAAGAGCTGGAGGAGACATGGTGCAGACCCACCCATGCAAGCGTTGAGATGATTCCACGGCCACTGGATCTACAATACCTTCTACCCACTGACCTATGATCTTCCTGCATTCCGCACCAATGGATGTACTGCGTGAGTTGAAAGAGGAATTCATGGACTAGATCAGACATGTGGGCTAATATCAGACTTATGGCCTTGGTCCGGACTGGCTTTTGTCCGGCTTTTGTACATTGATGTTTTCACAATACACAATTGCTCTTTTATATAAAGCTCTTTCTTCGACACATGTGAGTATCTATGAATTTGTTTCTCTAGTCGACCTGGACTAACACGGCGCCCTAATGCGAATGAAACAGTTGTATTGCTGAGAGAACTTGTTTGAAGCCATTCACGGACCACAGAGACATATTTAAACACATTAAACAAAACATAACATGTGTATGTATGATCTGGAGCTCTAGTAGCAATATATTTTTAAATTTACCCTTGTATTTTTGGAAATTGTTTTAGATGTTTTTCTCATAGGTGAATGAGTGAACAGACTGAAACAGGGAATGATGAACATAAGGCTCTTGGGCAAGGATTTCAATTTAGGGCTGAACTATTCCAAATGCTTCTTTGTTCCAGATTCTAAAAACCTACTGGAATGGTGTATGCTCTCCCTCCTAGTTTCTTTCTTTCATTAAAAAAATATATATATTGTGTTTTGGGGAGAGTTTACATAACAAATTAGTTTCCCATTAAACAATTTCTATACATACTTTTCAATGGCTTTGTCTACATTTTTCACATTATATCAACATTCATCCCCCCCACCCCAGTGGTTTTCTTGATATAATATTCACAATTCATATACCTCCATGGTTAAATCGCTTTTAAAATGAGTTGTACATACATAATCACAATCAGTTCCAGTGCTCCCTCCCCTCTTCCGGATTCCAAGTTTGCTCCCCCAATCCCCTTCCTATCTCAGCCCCCCACATCCCCGATAAACCATCTGTCAGTTATTATCTCTCTGCATCTACTCCTTTTGTGCTTCACAGACTGGGACACCCAGCAGTAACAATGAAAAACAAAAACAAGATAAAACAGCAAGAATAAAATAACAACAGTAAGAATAATAATAGAGTAAGAAAGAGAAGACCACCATCAATATTTAAAAAGCCAGGGAAGAAATGAAAAACATTATTTTAAAAGCATTTTCTTCTTCAGGTTTGCTACTATGGACTTATTGGAATGCGATTAGAGCTATCACAAATTCTGATCTGGAACACTACAATTTACCCATGCTCTATGGAAGAAAAATGTCTTTTTCCCCCTACATAAATTCCACGCTCCATGTCTCATTAATTTGGCCCGCCAAGAAACTCGTTCGTCCCTGTCAATAACCTATGGCCAGCCTCCCATCAAGCTCTGAACTCTTTAAAGGGGAAGACACTTCTCTAGTTCGAGCCCTCTGATGAACCATGCCCATTTTGGAGAGTGTGTGCCAGGTGCTGCACTGGTCCATAAGTCATGATGAGGAGAGGAGGGAGGGATAAGAAACATCTTTTCGACTATAAAAGATCAGAATGACAAACCTGACTTGAACAGTTAAAACCTTGTGAGTTGATTTGCCCCCTCTGATGCATGATCCTGGTTTTCAATATTTTCTGTATTTTTTATTCACATATCATACAATTCAATAGTTCATTCACATCAAGAACAGTTATGTATTTTTTTTATTCACATTGGGGTTTATTTATCTCAGATGTGTATGTCATTGGGGGTCACCTTCTTAAATTTTTGTTATATGTTTTTTCTGTTTTTCAGTCTATGAAACCCAGAATTGATGAATTTACAGGGACAGCAAGTAGAATAAGGGTTTCTGGGGGTACAGTGGGGGGTGTGTGGGGGGGAGGGGTAAAAGGGAGCTGATGTCAAGGAGTTCAGAAAGGAAAAGAATGTTAGGAAAATGATCATGGTAGCAATTGTACAATACTGCTTTACGTGATGGAATGATATCTCCATATTAACTCCCAATAAAATGGTTTTGGAAAAAAAAAGAAGAAACATCATTTCAATGATGCAAAACAAGACCTACAATACCTGAGATATCGGATGGCGATTAAGGCTTTCCACCGAATAGGGGTTGCTAAGGAATCCAGGGGCTCATCCCTAACGAAGTCCTGCAACACAAACAAGGAGCTGAAACAACCCTCCCAAGTGCCTCAGCCACCGGCCCCCACCTCCCAGCCCCCGCCCCCCATTGAACCCTTGATTCAGAATTCGGCAGAGATCTGTGTTGTTTGGGGCTGGCTGATTTTACCCAGGCTTCAGAATAGAGGCCTGGACTCTTGGTAATGTAATTTTCCAGGGGCTTCAGGAGATGCCTTCTCTACATACTCACAAGCATGTAGCCGAGCAGCACTTCCTTGTGGGCAAACTTGAACTCCTGCTCCTGGGCTTCGTGGATAGCAATGCCAATCTCCGTGATGCTTCTTATGAAACTCATTTGCAGATCCATGTCCTAAATCAAAAGCATTTCTGGTGCAAGGCAAGGTCTCCGGTACCACACCACATTAATAAAGGTTTTGTCTGAGATGGAAATATGTGTCCAGACAAGAGCAAGAATTTTGGCTGCTATTGACATCTCCACCTCTAAGCTACCATCGACGTAGCAGGGGAGTTGAAAAACCAAGATCAATCTACCCTCTTTCTCTTCACTAGAGTCTGAAGCTTCTTTGCAGCGATGACTTTCAGTAATGACCATAAGCCACAGTATGAACTCTTATGGACGATTCTACCCAGTACTCACATGCATACATCATAATATAAGTGAAATAAAATATTTTAAAATGCTTATCCTCGGGATGCATTCTTTTGCTTTCTCTTTTGTTTCCTTACAAAAGAATTTGCTGGTGGTTAGCTATTACATTCATTTTATGCTTCACTAGTGGGTCACAACCTAGTGTTCAAAATCACTACAGTGTAACTTCTAAAACACCCAAATGTAGGCAGAAACTCCTTGTTTTGTTCTAACAGAGCTCACGAATCATGGCTTCAGAACTGGGTTATTTAGTAAATGTTTCTTTGGAATCAAATCAAAGGAACTTGATGTATATAAGCACCACACACATATTCAAGGGTAAATAAAAAGTATTACTACAAAATCATAGAAACTTTTATTAAACCCAAATATGAAATATCAAAATATTGAAATAGTATTAGTATTTTAAAAATGTGAAGCTACTCTTTCTCGACAAGGCCTCCATCTAGGTCTACACACTGCTGATGACACAGTTTCCATCTCACCCTTCCCTGAAGAATGCCGGGCATTTTCATTTACACCACATTTTGTTCTTTTGTAATGTGCATTGAGTTTGGGGGACAAAAATACGTCTGAAGGGTCAAGATCAGGGCTGTAGGGCATATCAAAGGGTAGCCCTTGATACTCTTAAAGAATGAGCAAGGGGGTCCTCGCCATGAGGGAACACGATGTAACTTTCCTGACCCGTTCCTCGCCATGCCGTTTCCATTTACTTAAAACCTTTAGAAATTTTCCATGGAGAAAATCTTTCAAGATTTTCAGGACTGGGTAGGACTGTGACCACACTTTGATCACAGATACATGTTTCCACGTGTCTTATTTGGAATAAACTCATTCATGTAAGAACTGGAACCCCCGTAGCAACGCTTCAGAGCTTACACCTGTGTATCTGACATGATAACATATCTATGTCTATGGATATCATCTTATGTATTCGTCCTCATACCTTGGTCATCACGGACATGCCCAGCACCTAGAAAATCAAAGACAGAAGCAGAGGCTCAGTGAGTAGGAGAAAGGCATCCGTTCAGCAGTGTCAAAGATGACGTGAAGCAGGACACGGGGTCCTCCCAGGGACGTGCTTGCTTCCTTCCAGTAGGTCTTGTTATTCAGTGAGACCTTACACAACGGCAGACCCCTTTTCTCGTGTGAGTTGTAAGTAGGGACCCGAGGCCAGGACACTGTACTCCATCTTTGGGCTTCCACCTTCTCACTCAGTCTCAAAGGGATTGTGCTGAGCAAAATGGTAAGGCCTTTAGAGAAAAAGAGCCGTGAAAAGCTACAACGATGAAAAGTAAGAGGGGCAGATGCTTGTGGAATGGAAAACAGTGCATTCTGTTGCAACAATTGTGTTTAAAACTCAAACATTTAACCAATGCGATTGATACATCAGGTAATAATTGAGCATATTAAGAATTTTGAAATTGGCACTTGCTGTTACGAGGGGGATTCAAAAAGTGTGTGGAAATATTTCATTATCTTTCAATTGCATTTGTCCACAGATGTCTTGAAGCTCTCTCATACATGATTTTCATCTGTGAGAAATGTTGGCTGAATTCGGAAAGCACCTCTCAGTTGAACTGAGCCACACAGACCTAAAACCCTCAAACAAACCAGCTGCCTTTGAGTTATTAGTGACTCCCAGGGCCTCCAGGAGTTTCTGAGTAGCACTGGCCTCCACAGGGTTGTAATGACCATGATCGCTGGGAAGTGCATCACTAGATGGTTAGTAGTCAGGGATTTGCTGCTTACTTCATACCCCACAGGATTAGGACAGAGGAGTAACTAACTGCATACGACTAGTCAGTCAGTCAGTCAGTCAGTCAGTCAGTCACTCACTCACTCACTCACTCACTCACTCACTCACTCACTCACTGCCATCACTTGATGTCCACTCATGGTGACCCTATAGGACAGGGTAGCACTACCCCACAGGTTTTCAAGACTGTCACTGTTTCTGGGGGTAGAAAGCTGGGTCTTTCTCCCACTGACTGGCTGGTGAGTTCCAACTGCCAGCCTACTGGATCGAAGCCAAACGTGTAACTGCTCCGGCCGCTGGGCTCCTGCTTCCCAATATGTGGCTTCATGTCATATTAAAGTTACAGCAAAGGGCACGGAGGCCCATTCACTTTTTGGTATATTTTATCATTAGTAATATGTACTCCATATAATGTTGTCATTTGCTGATATTTATATGTAAGTTTTCCAACCACCCTCGAAATAAAAACCAGATTTGTAAAGAAACTGATAGTCCAAGGCAATAACGATGAAAATTTTAAAAATGAAGAGTTAGTATTTGACTTGCATCAGCACTGACTTACTGGGGAATCACGTGAGTAGTATTCAAAGTATACATGCACGCGTTACATATCTATCAATTCTTCTCTCAGTGTGCTGTGTGTTAGGAGCACCATCCATCTCCAGCAGGACCATCCATCTGACTTCAGATAACCCTCATTCCGCATTTTTGCATCCATCTTCATGTATTGTTTAAGGTACAGTGAGATTTAAAAAAAACATAAGTTGTGTATTTCTTAGCTATTACTGTACTATGTGTAAAACTGTGCTGCTGAGATTTTAATTTTTATTCTTTGTTAGGCGCCTCGTTTTTTGTTGTTAACATGCCACTTTATAAATGTTCTTGAGTGTTGTTCCTCTAATTAATTTCCCCCACAATCCCTGGGCTCTTATACTATGAGTTTTTTGCACTGCACAGTGATTTTTAGGAATACATACACCATGTTACAGCACAATCAACTGTACTGTGAAAATGTATCTTAATCATCTTGATCTCCATTCCTCCTTTATTTTTGTCAATGTTCTCTTTATTGGTTGGTGAAAAGTTGATGTAATATGAACTATCTTTTATTATGCTCTCGTATATCATGATGGGTGATTAAATGATGGGTGCCTCCCATTACTTCCTAAGAAGCATGTTAAAAATAAAGACTGTGACACATGCTTAAAGATGGCAATTCCTGTGGTGTTTCAATTTTCAGCACCTTCTAAAGTGTGAAGTTCACTGCCCTGCACCATATACCAGAATATACTTCTGTCCACAATATTGTAAGCTCCTATGATTCCTTTCTTAGTACATACACACATGGATGAGTGTCAAGAGCACCTACATGTATATCAGTCTTCAAACACTGAAGACGACATACAGAAGGTCCCAGTCCCAACATGAAATGCTGGCAATGTGATGGGAGAAGCAGCTGTGCCCCTGAAGAAAGAGAGCGCCCCAAAGCTGGCTCTGGATGAACATCTTGGATACAACCTTAACAAATACAGGTCTGTTTTACAGAATTCTACAAAAATCAGTATCCCTGGTGGAGCACCGTTTTGTTTGATCCCCAAGTGATTCTTATTCAGAATCACTAAGTGATTCTTATTCCGATTCCATTCAGAAAAATGGCTGAATTGACCATATGTAGAAGAAGCCTACTGAGCCCTGATAGTGCTGGCTAACTGCAATGTTCCAGTGGCCGTGGAGAAAGATGAGGCCGTCTGCTCCCGTGATGACGCACAGCCTCGAAACGCGGAGGAGTAGCTCTATTCTGTTCTATTGGGTCACTAGGAGTTGGAACGGACTCAATGACAATTTTTGTTTTGTTTTAGAATAGAATCCCTGGTAGTGCAACAGGATAAGCACTGGCCTCTGGTTGAGAGTTGGGTGGTTCAAACCCAACCACTGCTCCCAGGGATCAAAATGAGGAAGTCGGCTTCCTTCGAGATTCAGAGCTTTGAAGGATTTACAGAGCAGTTCTCCTCGGTCCTAGAGGGTCCTTCTGAGTTGGCATGACTCGATGGCAGGGGGATTATGATTTTTTCTGTAGAAGTTCCTGATGGAAGGTGTGAAGAGAGTGTTGGGAACAGAAATGATCATAAGAGTTCCACCTTGATTTGGTGGCTCTGAGCCAGGGACACTGTTAATAGAGGGTTGTCAAGGCAGGTCTCGCTGATGGAAACGGATATGCATGTGTGTGTGTGTGTGTGTGTGTGTGTGTGAATAATATAGTCCAACACAATGTGGACAGAGTAGATTGAGTCAATTTTATTCACTTGTAAGTATGTAAGTGGCTTATTCTATTGTGAGACAGTACTCTAGGTGGCTAGCTTACAAGTATGACAATGTGAAGAGTGAAACAATTGCCGTTAGTATTTCAAACCCAGTTAACCAGTTGCTGCCTGGTCAACACTCACTGCGGGTGACCCTTTATGTGTCCAAGTAGACATGTGCTCCATGGAGAACATTTTGGAAGCAGATCTACAGACTTTCCAAGGTGCATCTGGGTGGATTTGAACCACTGATCTTTGGTGAGCAGGTAAGCATGATTACAAGGAAGCAATACGTGAGTGGTAGTCTCTGAGTGGTGCAAACAGTTACGTGCTCAGCTGCTAACTGGACGGCTAGAAGTGGAAACCCACCCAAAGGCACTTTGGAAGAAAGGCCTGGCTAACCCCTTCTAAAAAATTAGCCATGAAAAACCTATGGCCTGTAGAGCACTGGGAGACATATGGGATCACCACGAGTCCGAATGGACTGACAGCAACTCCTAATAAGCCAGCTGCCTAGTCCAGGAATAATTGTTAAGACAAGAGTGAAATCCCTAAGGACTATGTGGGAAGGCATCGTAGGTCAGACATAAACTGGTAAGGCAGTGTTTGGACATTAGTTAACCAAGGCCTTCCTAAAGAAACAGTGGCTCCGTTCATCTTCTTTAGGAACTTTTATGCTACCATGTCATTAATCCCAAACATGTCAGATCCTATGTTTCCTTTCGCCTGTGTCATTGGGTATAAGCAGAATTCTTTGACACTGATGGTTTCCCAAGGTTGGGAGCCCAGCCCAGAAATCAAGGCAGCTGTGGTGGCCATTACCTGACAGCACTGGGTGTAGAGAAGCAGGACTGGGAACATAATTTCTTTCTCTACCCTGGTGAGAAGTTGCTCTTTGGGAGCATGCAGGGCCACCATTCCATAGATGACCATGACGTCAGTCTTGGATAGCTTCTTCTTCCCAGAAAAAAGACCCTGAAAACCAGGAAGGGAGACACGACAAGTTGTGACTGAAGTGGTTTCCTTTTCATTCATGTTTTTTTAAAATCTCTCCCTAATTCTAAGAACATTACAGGGCTTACTAAACTATATTGGGATGATTCAAATGAGTCAAAAATTCATGCAGGTTTTCTCATCCAAACTGAAGAGCTAGGAATGTGTCAGGGACCTAGCAGACACTGAGAGGCACTGTGAAAAATCTAAGGCTACTTTTTAGTTTTTAATCTACCTGTTTATTTTTGTTTTCAGTTGGGATTTAATACATACAACATAGCATTCCAAATTTCAATCACATCAAGCAGAATGTACAATTGCTACCACAATCAGTTTCCAAATATTCTTTTTCTACATGGACTACATGATATCTCCCTTTTGCCCATCTCCAGCAATGTATCCCCCTCCCCTGAGCCCCTTATTTTACTTGATGTAGTCTAGGTTCATTGATCCTAGGTTTCATATACCGAAAAAGGAAAAAGCATCTAACACAGCTTCCAGAGGGTGACCTACACTGATATAACACCTCTGAGACACTCTATGGTGAACCAACAAAAACTGAACAAAACAATACAAATCAAAAATACAGAACATTTTGGAAACCAGATCAAGTCCAGCCTGTATAATAGGGAGGATCTGCTAATCCAGTTGTAACAGCTCAAGTCAGGTTTGTGCCTTTGATCTTCCATACTCCTCTCTCCCAAGCACTCTATTGACTACTTTCCTCCCTTCCCTCGATTGTAGGTAGGGAGAGTTCTCTGGAGGCTGATTTCCTAAGTAGTTCTACAAATGAATCTTGGGCTTCTACTGCCATCCATCGCTTTCTGCACACCGGATTCTCACAATTTAGACGCTAATACTGATCCCTACTTCAACTTTGGATGATATGGATTCCAATCCTTCAGTGACTGATGATGGTGCACTTCTTCCAGGTAGACTTCGTTGACATCTCACTTAGATGGCATCTCACTTGTTTAGAGATAAGCCTTTAAGACTCCAGACACTATTTCATGTGATATAGCTAATTTTTATTGATCAAATCCCCATCCACCAGGGGAAGCAGAGGCTGACCAAGAGACTTGAAGAGCTGATAGGAGGACCAACTGGGCACCATCCAGAACTCACTCTGATTTTCCTGACTTTCCAGATCAGGATGAAGCAAACGAGTTAACAGTAACCACAGAGTCCACTCTGACTCATGGTGACCCAAAGCGTGTCAGAGTAGAACTGTGCTCCACAGGGGTTTCAATAGCGATGGTTTGTGGAAGTAGATCACCCAGCCTTTCTTCCAAGGGTCTTGGGTAGACTTGTACCTCCAAACTTTTGATTATCAGCTGAGCACATTAATATTTTACACCAACCAGGGACTCAGCAGAAACGGAGGAGACTTTTTGCTGAACTGTCTGCAGAGCTTTGGGAGGGCTGCCTTGGAAACGAGGCCTTGACTTAAGTATACTATGTAGATGGGATGTTCACTGATCAAATCAGTATAGTTTTTCCTTACCTTACATCGATTCATGAAAAACCTTTCTCGATCCTGGAATGCTTTAAGGACTTTTAAAACAACATCCAAGTGTCTCTCAGCACAATATCCTAAAATGAATGTTGTTCCCTAAAATCAGAAAAGGCATGGGGTTTTGAGTTTAACCATTCCGTCATTCAAGGACAGGAATTGATGGTGTGTTTTGTACACTACTCTGTATCCAGCACCCAGATAGTGCTTAATGAATGGAAGTGATATTAAAGTTAAGTCATTAAGTAAGCATTCAAATTCAGTAGATGTAAATAAACGGTATATCTATGGTGATAAGTGCTATGCAGAAAAAAACTCTGGAAAGGGGGTAGTTTTCGATTTAAATAGAAGGGTCAGAAAGGACCTCAGAGCGGGGTGAGATAGAGGAGAAAACTGACATAGGTGAAAGAATACCCATGGTTATCTGGGAAGGACAGTTCTAAACAGAGGAAAGGTAAGTGCCAAGGTCCTGGGGTCCACAGAGGAGTCGGGTGTGAATGATAAAGGATTGCAGGAAAGATAATAGAAGAGTTTGAGCTTATATTGACAAACATCTTTAAAGGGTTATTGTACCACTGAAGCTTTATTATTATATCTTAAGTGGTTAAATTTTCAAAACCTGTACCTCTTGCTCCCCATGCCCTCCCCTTACCATATCTCTTGCCCCAGGCTGATTTCACCACAGTCCCTTCACGGTGTTTTATCTGTGACATCTACAATATTTCCTTTGGTCTTCAACCCTGCAAGAACCACTCAAAGACTACAGAGATCAGACTACTAACACCAAGGTCCTGGCTGGTGCTGTTCCTGTACTTAGTCTGCTGAGGAAATTAGTGGGAGTCAGAATGTACAGTTTCAGCCTCCACTAAGCCTCCAATTACTTTCCCTTCATCAGTTTTCAAGGTTACAAATCTTAATCTCCTCCCATGAAACTGCTCACTAAGCTCTCTATTGAGTATAACCTTCCAGATGGGCTCCATTTCTCCCTATTTTCCTTCCGAGGAACCTGGGGAACATGGAGAGAATGTGGTGGAGAGACCCGTCCCTGGAGAAGGACATCATGTATGGCAAAGCAGAGGGGCAGCAAAAAATAGGAAGACTTAACAAAATGGGCTGATACCATGGCTGCACCAGTGGGCTCAAACATAACAATTGGGAGGATGGCACAGGACCGCGTAGTGTTTTGGTCTGTTGTGCACAGGGACCCAACTAGATGGCCTAACCACAACAATACCAGTCTGACTCCAGAACCCCTGGGGGTGTAGAAAATTAGATGTTAGGCTGCTATCCACAAGATTGGTGGTTCAAATCCACCTGCTGCTCCTCAGGAGAAAGGTGATGTTGTGGGCTCTGGTAAAGCCGTGCATTCTCAAAACCCCTAAGGAGCAGTTCTACTTTGTCCTGTAGGGTTTTTGTGAGTGAGAGTGGACCCTTTGTCAGTGGGAGAGCTGATCCCAGAATCGGAGCCCTGGAGTACGATGAATGGAAAAGTCATGGTTAGGATATCAAAAGCCGTTCAGTCTCACTGAGATTGAGAGAGTTTTATATCAACTCTCTCCTTAGCCAGGGTTCACTGACTAGGTAAAACAGCTTGTGTGTCTGGGAAATATTTAAAAAATTGAGATGAAGTGAAAAAGGAAGATGAGGAAATTTGTGAAACCCTCACCCTGGATGCGAATCTTACTGTGTGCTTATGAGACAGCTGCATTTCCCTACTCTGCGGAACTAAGCAGTCAAAGTGAGGAAACACGTGCTAGCAATGCTGCCAAGAACAGCTAAGTGATAGCTGAGTCTCTGACCAAGAAAAGAGAAACAATAGGAATAGAAAGGCATTTTCCAAGAGCCAGTAATGTCTTAGTGAGCTGTGACCATTGAATGTAGGGGAAAAGACTTGAAATATTTCAGAATTCCTGAAAAATAGTCTACACCTATCTATACACCTATATATATCAGCACATCAAAATGCTATATTTTTATTTTAACTTTTATTGTTGTTCGGTACCGCGTGTCAATCGAAACTCACGGCAGCCCAGGGGGTGAAGAACAGGCCCAAAGGGGTTGCTGGGCGGTGCTACTTGCTGAAGAGAGCCCCGGTCTTTCTGTCCCCGAGCTGCGGGGGGAGTGAGCCCCAGCTTCCGACCTTTCAGTTAGTCACCGAGCGTGTCACCACTGCACCGCCAGGCCTTCTTTTGCTCGTACTAGATGGTATCGTTAGTGGTGTCAAACCGGAGGAGTTTCTATGTGTTTTGCTAAATCAAACTTCCTCTTATTGCTCTCCCACTTGGGCAATGCTAGGGAAAAGGCAGAGGTGTTTCTGCAACCTCTGTGGTCCCAGGCACGGTGGTCTTTTGTCTGGGCTGAAAGTGCATGGTCTGTAAAGTCACTTCTGGCTTGTTGATGCAGTGATTTCGTTGTTCACTGTGGTACTCTAATCAGGGGTCCGCAAACTTTTTAAACAGGGGCCAGTTCACGTCCCTCAGACTGTTGGAGGGCCGGGCTACAGTTAAAAAAACAACAAAAACTATGAACAAATTCCTATGCACCCTGCACATATCTTATTTTGAAGTAAAAAAACACCGGGCGGGCCAGATAAATGTCCTCAGCGGGCCGCATGTGGCCCGCAGGCCGTAGTTAGTTATAACACCAAAGGGACAAAATACTCCATTAAAGATTGAAATAAAATTTTTAGCATTTCCACAATTATGCTTAGTTAATAAAGTATTGATATTTAAAACAGGGAAGTCTAGTTGTTTGTTTTTTCCTAAAAAAAATTCTATTGGCTGATTCTGAATATCTCCATGGAAATTCTGAAGAAGGAAACATTATTATAAGACCCGTGGGAGTTGTGAATAGGATTAATCATCATGATTGTAAGAGGGAATTAAGGAAAAGAGGTCCCACCTGTCGCTGGTCCCCTAGTTGATTGGGAGCAATCAGATACTCCCTAAGTTGTGAGCTCACGAAGCCTGTGTCTTGGCAGTATGCTAAAGTGGTTCCCAAGGCTTTCCAAAGGAATTTCTGCAAAACAAAAGACAAGGGGATGTGAAAGCTGGGATGAAACACACTATATTCCTCTGGTTCCTTGAGGCTTCCTCACCCCCAACCACCATGACCCCAGTGCTGCTTCTCAATTCAGATTAGACCAGAAGACAGCAGTTGATGTGAGATATGAAAGTAATAACAATTTATAATACTGTATAGCAAGTGGTTACGAGCGTGGGGAGGAGGGAAGGGAAAAAAAGGGAGGGCTGAGACCAAGGGCTCAGTAGAAAGTAAATGTCTAGAAAAGAATGAAGGTAACATATGTACAGATTCGCTTGATGTAAGAGATGTATGGATTGTAACAAGAGTTGTACGAGCCCCCAATAAAATGATTTATTAAAACAAAAAAGACAAGGGGATGTAAAAGCTCAGAAAACAAGACTGTTAAAAAGAGCAAAGAGTTAGAATGGTCATCTGAAGAAAAGACATGATTAATAACTGACTAATTGTAGCCCATTAACATCAAGCATTATCTCCCTTGAAAGTGTTTGCTGACTCCAAGCGTTGTCCTCTACCTGTGCTCTTTTCTGCACACCTCCCTGCTTTGTGCCCTCTCAAAGCCTTGGCCTCCTGAGCATCAAGTTTTGTTGTCATGTTTGTCTCTGTGGTCAGGCCAGGAGTTCTTCATAGCAGAGGGTCATAGTATTTCTAGCGAGCAGTCTCTGGCAGCTAATACATGCTCAGTGGAAATATGGCTATTTTGAAGATGAGTTAATCAGATAGTCAAACCTCTAAAATATACTTACTTTGTAATTTAGGAGATTTTATTATGGTTTCCAAATAATACTTAGTAAGCTCTAAGGTTATTTTCCTCCCAAGAAGAGGGTGAATCGGTCAGTAGTGTGGACCCAGAGCAGTGTCAGGGTCAATGACAGCCACGTGAGGTGTACTTAGTGTGTCTCCCGTAAGGGGATCTGAGTAAATTAGAGAAGGCCATCTCTCCAGGCAAGAGTACTGCAGAGTGAGGACACAGGCAGGCATTGGATGGCTGCCACATCCCTCAGAGGTGGCGACAATGTTGGATTCACTAGATCAGCCTCATTTAGCTCACTTATTAGTGTTGGGAGGGAAGGAAAGGTGATTAGGACCTGCATTCTTGTCCGCTCTCACTAGAAGCCGTATAAGACATACACATGTGGTTTTGAAAGTGGGGCAGCCCAGCAGTATTTTGCATGGGAACAGCACAGCACATGCCTGAATGTATACAAGTATATCTGTATATATGTTTTTCTACATTCTTGTGGAGATGAGATAATAGCAAAATTCATAAGAGGTAATTCTTTTATTTAAAAAGCCATTTTATTAGTACATAATGAAGACATCGTACCGTTCAATAGTTCAGTTATACCTAGAAGTGTACAATTACTATAACACTCAGCTTCAAAACATGTTGTTCCTTCTTTGACTTCTTGATACCCCTCCCCACCACCTATCCCATCACACCCCCAGGAAACCTTAGTATAGTTATTAACTCTATAGGTTCACCCACCCGGGTTTCATACACTGAAAAACACAAAAATACATAACAGAGAGTCAAGAAGGCTACCAACAATCACAAAGTACAAAAGAGATGAAACTTATTTTGGAAAAAAAGAGAATATTAAAAACCACATTAAACTCAAAGTGTGTCAAAAGGGATATCAAATACTAAGGTTTTAACCAGTCAAGTTATATCTGCCATTCAAGTGTACTAATTGTCTCTACAGTACTCTTCTGCCTGATCACCAGATTATTCTCACCCTTTATGGTCAGAGGGAAATCACCAGAGGTTTATTCCATGTGTAGATCCTTTGAAGGCATTTTAGGGTACCACTGCCATCCATAGCCTTCTGCAAACTAGAATTTCACAGTTTAAGCTGTGATACTATTCCCTTCTTTAGATTTGGTTTATATTATTTACAATCCTTGAATAATGCGTGTTGGTGTGCCCTTTCCCTGTAGGCTTAGTTAACGCCTTATTTAGAGGGCTACTTGTTTGAAAACAAGCCTTTAAGACCCCAGATGTTATTCTTTTGGATAGCCGGGCACCATCTAGTTTCTTCACCACACTTTGCTGTAGCACCCATAGCTTCTGTGTTTCCTTCATGACGGCATGTATTGAATTGTTTTTTGATTGGAGTCAGGATTAAGTGAAAGCCAAAGTCCATTCCTATATCTAGGTTTTCTATATGACTCTAGTTCACCTTAGGGACAACTTTGTCATTTTATGTTAGAGAACATTATTGATTATCTCCCTGGAGCATATGTTTAGAGCAGCATTGATGTAGGCCATGGTAATGTATTTAAAACACAATTGAGAAAAGAAGATTAATCAAGTGTGGGCTAACTACAAGTCACAATATATGGATTCTTGACATGTAAAGATTAAACACTTCCCTGACTAGATAATATTTACATAACAATGGGAGTTGATGGTAAGCCAAAACTAAAGAAGGTGTCCATGGTGGTTGGATCAACAAGGAATGTTATGAAATGGCTTCCCACCTGCGGTGTTCCCAGTACTGACCTCATCTTCCCCTTTCCCCCACCACTTCCCACTGCTTTTGCAACACCCCCCCCCCCACACACACACACACCCTTTCCATACACACACAAACACCATTTTTATCTTTTGGGCCATTACCCCATACCCCTTATTGCTGCCAAAACCATATGGGGTAGGGGTTGGGCCTGGATGGACAGACATCTCCCCCTACCCATCCCTTCTCCTGTGTGTGGTTGGAAAACTTTGGGTTTTTTTCTGAATAAAAAAAGATTCTACTAAAAAAAAAAAACTTACAATAATTATTCAATGACAATGAGACCTAGATCTGCCAGAATAATACTTATCTTAATAAAGCAATTAGAGCATTAAAAGTGTGAGTTAATGGTCGTCCACCTACTGACAGTTCAGTACTCTTGGTGTGGCTGTGCTCTACGTTTCACATACTACGACGTTTCAGCCTTGAGTCTCTGGGCCAAAAGACTGTATTTGAGAGGTGTTTGAGGTAGCGCTCAGTTCACCTAGTGGAATCTCTACATCACATACTTCTGGTACAGCCTGTAGAGTATATTGTCTAACTCAAAATCCAGGGTTCAATAGCCCAGTATTCTGTAACACTTGGCCTGGATCCCCAGGGCCCGTGTAGAACCCTATTCAATGTGCCTATTTGGAGCAGACGCTTCCCTTACACAGAACCTGGGGTGTGTATAAGAATTGTTATTATTTTTTCCCTGCTGGGAAGTTGGGCCCCCCACCCCTTTTTCTACTAACAGAAATGCACTTGCCTTCTCTGAGATGTGTACGTGTCCTTTCTCTCATCCTGATTTGATTTTCCCATCAGTATCTCATCACTCTGGTAGAAACGTTTATTGGTTTGGGGGACCACATCACATTTTTCATGGAAGCCACTCAATGGGCATCTTCGCCCCCCTGCCCCCCAAACCACCACCCACTCTTGGAAATCTGTTCCCAGCTGAAGTGAGCTGTCCTGTGTCAAAGTGTGTTTTGAGGTACACACATAGAGAGGGTGGTGCGTGGTGAATGGGCGCTAGTCAGGCTTTCTACCGCTTTGCTTGATTTGCAGATTGTATGGCCTAAAAGCATAAGTTTGTTGTCATCTTGGTGCTATCCTACATTTGTGGATGCATACAATGTGGAAGGTTATAGAAAGCCTCAAGAGAAGATGGAAAGAATGCACAGAGTCTCTGTACCAAAAGTCAACATTCCACCATTTCAAGAGGTCCACGAACAAGGCGGAGGTATATGATCAGTTATATGAATAAGAAAAAAATGGCTCTGAAGGAAGAATTTCAAGTGGCACTGAATGCATTAGCTCAAAACAAGAATCCAGGAATTGATGGAATACCAATACAAATGTTTTTATCAAGCTGATGAAACACTGGAAGCACTCATTTGCCTATGGTAGGAAATTTGGAAGACAGCTACTTGGCCAACTGACTGGACGAGATCCATATTTGTGCCCAATAGAATGCTGAAGCCACAAAACAATATCACTCATATTGCACACAGGTACATTTTTCTTGAAGGTCATCTAACGATAATAGCAGTACATTGACAGGGAACTGCCAGAAGTTCAGGCTGGATTCAGACGAGGACATGGAATAACGCAGATCATTGCTGATGTCAGATGGATCTTTGCTCAAAGCAGAGAATACCAGAAAGATATTTACTTGTGTTTCATTGACAATGCAAAGGCATTGCCTATGTGGCCAATAAACTATGGATAAGCTCGAGAAGAATGGGAATTCCAGAATAATTCATTATACGCATTCGGAATTTGTCCATCGATCAAGAGGTAGTTGTACCAACAGACCAAAGGGATATAGCATGGTTTGAAATCGGGGGAGGTGTGTGTCAGGGTTGTGGTTTCTCACCGTATTTGTTCAATGTCTATGCTGAGCAAATCATCAGTGAGGCTGGCTTATATGGAGAAGAACGTGGCATCAGGATTGGAGGAGAGACTACTAACGACCCGAGCTATGCAGATGGCACAACCTTGCTTGCTGAAAGTGAGGAGGACTCGAAACACTTGTAGCCTTCAGAATGGATTACAAATCAATGTAAAGAAGGTTAAAATCCTCACATCTGGACCAATAGATAACATTATGTTAAATGGAGAAAAGGTTGAAGCTGTCAAGGATTTTGTCTTGCTAGCATGCTCATTGCTCATGGTAGCACCATTCAAAAGATGAGTTGCATTAGGTAAATCTGCTGCCTAAAACCTCTTTAGAAAATTGAAAAGTAAGGATGTTCCTTTGAGGACTAACGTGTGCCTGATCCAAGCCATGATATATATATATATTTTTTTCTTCTAAAGTGGTAAGGGTAAGATCATGTTAATATAAAGATAAAAATGCAAATAATCCATCAGTGGAAGAAGGACTCCATTAATATTCAAAAAGCCAGGGGAAAAAATTCTGTCATGGAACAACTAAGACATGCTTGCACACAGTAAAAATTCAGGTCATGTCTATAGCGAGATTGACTCCCAAGTATTGAGTTCCATCCAGCATAAGAAAGATTACAATGGCCTCTTCCTGCTAGGAAGGCTGTTTAGGGACTCTTGCCTTTGGCTATTGTGGCCCTGCCAGCAGCCCAGTCTGACTCTATACTTTGCAGACGGGTTTTGGGTCTCACTATCCATAGCCTTCTACAGATTGAGTGTTCATACTTTTAGCTCTAATACTTTTCTCGTCACCATCTTTGAGTTTTTAATTGTCATCTTTGGATCATGCAAGCTGGTGTGCTTCTTCTGTGTAGATTTAATTGATTGATCACTTAGATGGCTGCTTGTTTGAATCCAAGGCTTTAAGACCTCAGTGACTATTTTTTAAATTGCTTCCTATGCATGTGTAAGTTGGACCTTGAATAAGGAAGACCATAGAAGAATCAATTCATTTGAATTGTCGTGCTGGTGAAGAATAATGAAAGTACCATGGATTTCTAAAAAGGCAAACTAATCCATCTTGGAAGAAGTAGAGCCAGAGAGCTCCTTAGATGCAAGGATGGCAAGACTTTGTCTTATATTCTTTGTATATGTAATCAGGAGAGACTCATCCCAGGAGAATGAAATTATGCTTGGCAAACTAGAGAGGCACAATTTGGAATGGGCACAACAACATCAATAGAATTGGAGCCCTTGTAAGGTGCTGTTGTTGTTAAGTGTCATCCCATAGCGACTCCATTCACAACAGAACGAAACACATTATTCCTATGCTTGAGCACATTGTGGCAGACACTGTGTTAATCTATCTCACTGTGGCCCTTCCTCTTTTTTGCTGCCCCTCCACTATATCACACATGATGTCCTTCTCCTGGGACTGGGCTCTCCTGATAATAGGTGCAAAGTTACCTATTGGTCCTGGTAGTGTATAGTGGGCAAATCTTGGGCTTCTAACCAAAAGGTCAGCAGTTCAAAATCAGATGCTCCATGAGAGAAAGAGGAGTTTTTTTTTTAACCCCAGTAGAATTAGTCTTGGACACCCCCACCCCACCTCTGGGAAATTATACCTTGTCCTGAAAAGTCACTATGAGTCACAATGCACTCAATGTTAATGAATTTGTAGTGAGTTACCAATAGAATTGCCATCCCCCATGGGGCTGATCTATAATATTCTCCAGTAAAATGACAATGATGCCTTTAAAGTGAGTAAGGGACATTTATAAACCATAGAAGCATGATGTGAAAGAATGGTATTAGTGCATACATTCTGAACTCCTGGTTTGCAGAGAGAATATATTAGAGGTTTAATCTGGAATACTTGGTTTGTAGAAGGCCACGGATGACAATGACAAACCCAAACCTATTTACAGGGTCTCCCATGTGTATTAAGCCTCCAGTGAATCCACCCTTACTATGGATCAGGGATAGAAATATACCTGTTATCAGTCTCAGTGCATAATAGAGTGGATTACTACCTTTGTGGCTTTCCTAGACTGTAACTCTTTAAAGGAGTGACTAGCCTGTAAATGTGATGCTTCACTTCTTCCTTGCATATAGATGTGGTCACATGAGCGTGTTTTGGCCAGATGTGCTGTTGAGAGATATAGCACACAACTTGGAGGAAATGAGTTTAAGAGAAGGGGAACTCTTTTTTCTAATCACTCTTCACTCCTTTTAGTTGTAGTATAAATAAGATGTCATTTGAGCAGCCAGTTTGGGGCACAAGGTAAACGCTAAGGTGGCTTGAGAAACCTTAATTGAAAAACCAACCTTTTCAGTGGAGGTGTTGCTGTAACCTGCCATTTGATGATTGAAATCGCGACTCAGTTGAATGGTCCAGGCCACATCACCGATCTTCCATAAAGTTTCTTTGAGCAACTATTAGTAGGAAGTGGAAGTTAGATGTATTTAATGTGTTAATTTAATGTGTTTTTCTTTGATACACTTTTATTATTTTTAAAGAATACAAATATATATTAAATAGTATCTTTCTCCCCATAAAAGAACTGCTTACTTTGGAAAATTTCCTTAGTTTATTTTAAAAGTCATTTCACAAGCATTATGTTCTGAATTCTCATTAAAAGTAACATATACAGAATTTGGAAATATATCCAATCTTCACTTATTGATATGGTAAGGGTCCAAAGACCAGGTTGTTACATAAAAATTGGTATTATGCAAAAATGAAGGATGACCATATTAGATTACACAACTGCAAATTGCATTATTACAGAACTTAAAAACTACTGAAAATCATAGCCTAGACAAGTTGATACATAAACTTAAACATCATAAGCAACTTTATTCTCACCTTACACTTTGATGTTTATTACTACCAGTCATGCTTTGTTAATGTGCAAGATAGTAGATCTTTTATTGTTGACATAAACATGAAATGTGGGATAATAAGATAGTCCCGAAGTGAGGAAGAGATGTAGCTCTATATCAGTGCCTTCATCTCTTCCCCACTTTAAACATAAATCCATGAAAGACAAAATAGAAGTACGTCCTAGTTGAAACTACAATTGAAGTTAATGCTCTTCAAGGTCAAATAGACTAAAAAACCATTAATTAGTTTGTTTTGTTAAATACTTTGGTAAAATGGGGAGGAATTTTTTCAGAATATCAAAATTAAATGTCTTGCTGAGTGCCTTTAGACAAGAGACTTGCTTTCGGAATAAGGTGTCTTCAGGCACTTAATTGGGAGTGCTGAGTTAGCTTAACCACAAAGCTTGAGATAAGTACTTTTGAGTTGAGACTTATGGTGAAGTGTGCTGCCCATTGGGCTTTCATTAGCAGTGCTAAAAGAGCTTTGTAACAATGTCCAAGCAGGGCAGAGGCCAAGCCAAAGGGCCTAGTTAGGGCCAAAGAGAAACCTGGCTATGGGAGTGGCTGAGAAGAGGCTATCCTGACCAAAGAACTGTATCCTGAGAATTTCTGGTCCTGAATTGTAACCTATTAACTTCTCTAACAAACCTCATAACTGCAAAAATAAAGTAAAACAAAACGAAATGTCTTAAGCAACCAATTTGATGGATAGTGTCATGGCTTTACTTTTGTAACTAAATATTCCTAGTTTGATCAATAGTCCTGAGCCTGAATCATGTTGAACAAACAAAGAAACAAACAAATTAGTAAGTTTAAAAGGTTTTCATCTTTTTGGAGGTCAATGACATGGCAATTTTCAAAATAACAAGAAATAATAACTTCTTACACATTTATTTGTACTACTTTAAATTTATAAATTTACAATTAATTTACAATGAATGCTGAGGGCAATGAGAGAGTTTGCATGTATTTATTTAATGGTTCTTTATACAAAAGAAGTATAAGATCTTAAAGAAAGAAAGTTAAGGAAATAGAAGACTAGAGCCATATTCAAGATTGGGACTAGGCAGGAAATTGTTCTTAAAATTTCTTGTTAGGGAAGGAAATAACCCTTAATTTCTAGGGAAAACGGCTATTGTAAAAGGGTAGCAGAAGAAACTAGGGCGAGAATGTTGAGGAAGGTAGACGATAAAAGAGGTAAGGATATAGGACGGGGAGTGGACCCTAGAATAAAAGATCGGGAGGGTAGAGCAGTGGTTGTGAAGGTTTATATTGGGTAAATGTCACGTGTGGGGACCTTTTAAACATGCAAGTTCTTGAGCACCAACCTCAGAGATCTGGTTTCTAGGAGGAGCTGAGATAGGAGGTGGTGGTTTCTGGAAAGGCTACCGATCAGGATATTTTGAAGGAACCTTAGGTATTTCAGTGTAGGTGGTCTGGAAGATGAAGTGCTGCTAAAAGTTCCCTGTCCATGGATTCCGTGGCTTCCTTATAGGTTCCTGAAATCCTTTTAGAGCCAATATCCAACTTTTCCCTTCTTCCCAACAGGTGCATTGGCATATGATTCGCATATCACACCATTCAAAAGTTCACCATTAAGAAGAGCTGTTCAATCATCACAATCAGTTTTGGAACATTTTCTTCATTCTTATCCTCATCGCTATTAGCTCCCCATTTCCTCCAAACCTTCCCTGCCATCCCCCAAGGAACCATGAATCCAATTACTAGTTTCTATCTCTATAGACTTATCTATCCTGGATTTCAATGCAGGAAAACAATAATAAAAAAACCACTAACACCAATAACAATGCGAAACAAATAAAACTCCAATAAAAATAGAGCAATAAATATTAAAAACTAGAACAAACTTAAATGGATCATAAGGGAAATCAAATGACAGGGCAATGCATTTTAAACTAACTGCATCTGCAACAGTCCCTTTTCCAGTGCATTCTGCATGTCTGCAAAGCTGTTCACATCTCTGGTCCACGGTCAGAGGGGAGTCTCCAGGGGCTTAATTCATGTGTTTTACTTCCTTGTTACTGTTCTTTTTTTTTTAGCTGAAGCAGCTTTAAAATGGGTCAAAGGGAAGATCAAATGATGAGATATTACATTTTTAATATTTTAACCTAACTACATCTGGGATAATCAACTTTGCAATCTTCTTTGCCTGATAACAGGGTTTTCTACATCCTTCAACTATGGTTAGAAGGGATTCAGTAGAGGCATAATCCATGTGTGGACCCTGCAAATGGATTTTGGGCTTCCACTGTCATCCAGAGCCTCTGGAAACCAGGTGGCTCATAATTTAAGCTCTAAAGCTATTCCCTTCTTTAGATTTGAATTATATTATTTACAATCCTTGGATGACACAGGCTGCCAATATCCAACCATTGCTTACAATTTACCATTTCTGGGATTGGGCTCTGTGGTACTGTTAGGTGTTAAGTCCATAAAGTTTATGGGTGAGAGAAGATTATTTTCTGGAAAAGGATCAAAATGTTTTTAATTTTTAAAAACATTTTTTGCACGTTACTTTTAGATATCAGGGAAAAGACAGCAAGAAGCTCATTTATAAAGAAAAACAATCGTGTTTAGGAATACAGAAGAAAGATTTGTGATTTTACAAGTGGGAAGAGAAAGCAGTAGGAATTAGAGGAAACCAGGTGAAAATTAGAGTCTTAATGAAGGCACAGATAAAAATGTTAAGAAGAGAAATCTACAGAACTACCTTAAAGGCATCAAAGAGCCTTTTGAAGACTCAAGGTTATTTGCTCAAGTTGTGCTATAAAAGTATAGTCATTAAACAATTCTAACATTCTAGTAGTTCTTCCAAGAAAAGGAAACATTGAATACTGCCGTTTGTTGATGTATTAGGCATTAATTTTTATTTTAAACAATTTTATTGGCATGTGATTCGCATATCAGACAATTCAATAGTTAGATCACATCAAGAAGAGTGTACAATCACCACCACTCATCAGTTTTTAGAACATTTTCTTCATCTTGTACATATTGCTATTAGCTCCTCATTTCCCCCCAATCTCCCCTGCCATCCGCCCAAGCAACCATTAATCCAGTTACCATGTGTGTTGTTTTACATATCTTGGATTTAATATACAGGAAAACATTTAAAAAACTGACAACAATAAAAAAGTAAACAAACAGATAAGAAGCTTCAACTGAAAAGAAAGAGAAAATATTAAAAAATAGAAAGATTCAAAGGGATTATAAGGCAGATTAAATGATAGGGTGCCATCTTTCACCTCATTTAATCTTCAGCAGTCCCCTTTCCAATGAATTCTGCATGACAGTAAGGCTGTGCACATCCCTGGTCTGTGGTCAGAGGGGACGTGGAATAGCGTCTTTTGAAATGTAATTCCTTTTAGTTAAGATGAGTAACTTTAGCTGATTTCATCACCCCATCATCATCAATTAATCTAGAAGGCACCCTTACCTGAAGCAGCATGGTTTCCCATAGTGCTATGCTAGCGTTCTTTCCTAGAAAGAGAAAATCTGATTCAATGACTGCACACACGCACACACACACTCTCAAATTTTCCTTGCGAGACTGTGCATGTTGAGGTTCCATTTCATCATGCTTCCTCCTTATATAGACAAACCATTTCCTATGAAATTTACAGTGTTGCAAAATTTGAAGGGCCAGTTGGGGGATAGTCTGGGCTTCTTGTTAATTAAAACACTCAGTACTGAAATGACCTTATTTTAAGAATTTGAACCCGAATGAGTAATAACAGCCTTCTAGAAAATACCACCGGCAGGAAGAAGACAGGCAGGAGCAAAAACGAAGGAAGAACCTGAGGGTGGGATCCACTGGGTCCCTCTGATCGTATGCGAGTTGGGCTGAGAAATAGAAACTAGTCAAGCGGAATATCTAGATAACTAACTTGCATATCCTATGCACTGTTTTTATTGTCTAAAGTAAACAATAATGGCTTTCTCCCAAGCAATAAGAGTCTCATTCCTTGGATAAAGACCTGAACCCATTCCCTTGTACCTTCCAGAGGTTGCAGGAGTTCGGGTAGGCGTGTTTTCCAGAGGTCTGCCAGTTTGGGGTGAATGATTTCAGGAAGTATCTTCAAAAGTCCTATTGCACCAGCCCCAACCAATTTCCCTAAACTGGCAAGCATAGATATTACCTGAAGGATGGAACAGAAAGTGCTAATCAATTCAGCGGTATTCAAAAGACCCAACTGCCTTCTTATTTGACCTTTGTCCTGAATTTTCTTGATTCCCGCACTGGAGAGTCTTCCAGTAAATCAGCACAGTTGATTCTGACTTATTCTAGAACCATGCTAATATTTACACATCTCAGCTTCTTATTTTTGCCCCTTCACTGAGGATAAAGGAGGAGGATGAGGAGGAAGAGGAGGAGAAGGAGACACCAACCAAAAATAAACAAAAAGTACAATACTCAGATATTAATTAAATAAAGGCATGTGGAAATAGTGCTGGAGTACATAGATACAGAAGAGGCCAAAATGAGAGAAGAAAAAAAAAATCAAATTAATAAATATGGAAGCTGAATGGACCACAGATCAGGTTCAGTCCATGCTTAGTTTCAACATTTATAAAGTTCAAAAGTAACTTCATAGTGGGAAGATAATCAATCTTCTTGGCTGTCATTGGTGCAGGAGATGATTTAATATGTCGTTTCATTTTTATTTGGCATACATATGTAATTTTTACTAGTATTTATTTGGAACTTGATTGTCTGTATGGGCTTATATTTGCCCCAGGTTCATTCTTTGGAACTCACTTACCAGAAGTCTGGCCAGCAGCTGTTGTGGCGAAGGAAGTTTCACTAGAAAGAGAACACAGTTTTCGTTAGTGCTGTGGGGGCTGAGAAATTCAAAGTGGAGTTGGAGATGAGGTCAGTGTCTCCTCAGAGAACAGTGTACTTTGTTTGCGGATATACAAACCAGCTCCGGTCGAGACGACAAGGGCAGTGGACTCAGCGTCACTCGAGTTCTTCCTCTCCTCTGCCATGATCAGGGTTCTGATCATATTAAACAGGTGGCTCAGAGTCCCTGTATATTCTGCGGGTACCACAAACGTCAGAAGTCTTGGCCATAGCACCTGTGAAAAACACAAGGCAAGATACAGGGATTGTTTATTTTTTTCTCTTTACTTCCCTCTGGTCCTCATTATGTGGTTTTCTCTGATTCAGAAATGTTTCTCTCATTTGCTCTTATTACGTCCGTAGTAAAAGAAAGTCAAGGAAATGATGAAATAAAATCTCGGCATGTTCTTGTCATTAAGTTGGTCTGACGCATAGTGACCCTAGATCTATCAGGAGGAAACACTTCCCAGTCCTGCACCGCCTTCACAATGTTTTCATGTCCGGAAGCGCCCATTGTTGCAGCCACTGCGTCGATCAATCCTTATCATTAAAGGGCGTCTTCTTTTCCACTCACCGTTTATAAAAGCAAGCACTATGATCTTCTCCAGGGCCGTTCTCTCCTGATACGCTGCACAAAGTGCCCGAGAAGAAGTCTCACCATCCTGGTTTCTAAGGGGAATTCTTTGCTGATTTGTCCACTGCAATACATATTTTGATTTCTTGGCGGCTGCTGCCATAAATGTTGATTGTGAATCCAAGTAAAATAAAATCTTTGACAACGTCAATCTTTTCCCTTTAGACAAGAAACTATTGGTATAGTTTATGGATTTTCATTTTCTTTGTGTTGGAGCAGAATCCATAGTGACAGTGAGGTCTTTGATTTTCACCAGAAAATGTCCGACGTTGTTTTCCCTTTCAGCGAGAAAGGTTGTGCTTCCTGCACATCGCAGGTCGCTAACAGGCCATATCCGACTGCAGTCCGATGACTGGTCTTCAAAAGAAAAAGCAAAGGAAAGCCCGGCTTTTCAGCTCGTTTGCTCAGCATAGAGCGTGACTAAATGTGGTAAAAGGATATAACCCTGATGCACACCTCTCCTCCCGTCTTCTGAATAGTGCGTGGATTTCTGGGAACTCTCTGTAAATACTGCTGCAATTGTTTGTAAGATATTTTCAGCAACATTTGACTCGTATGTGAAAATGATATTTTTCAATAATTCCTGCATTCTGTGGTGCTACCTTTCTTTGGAATGGACAGAGATATGGAACTCTGTCAGCCAGTCGGCCACCTGATTATCTTTCAAATTTCTTGGTATAGTTGAGTGAGTGCTTCCAGTTACGCATTAGTGTGGTGAAATATTTCAATTGATATTCAGTCAATTCCCGGAGCCTTGCTTTTCTTAATGCATTCCGTGCAGATTGGACTGTTTCCTTCAAAACGATGGGTTCTTGATCATGTCCTACCTTTTGACAAAGTAGTATATGAACCGATTCTTTTTGGGGCAGTGACGGCGCGTTCCTTCCATCATCTTCTGATGTTTCCTACATTGTTTAATATTTTGCCCATAGAATCCTTCAATATCTTAACCCAAGATTCGAATTTCGCCCCCAGGTCTTTCAACTTGATATTTGCACATTCTTCTCTTTGGCTTTGTAACTCCAAGTCTTCACACATTTTATTATAATACTTCCTTCTGTCTTCTCAAGCTGTTTTTGGAACATTTCTGCTTAACTCTTTTACTTCATCATTTTTTCTTATCATTTTAGCTTCTCTAACTTCAAGAGCAAGTTTCAGAGTCTTTTCTGACATTCATTTTGTTCTTTTCTTGCTTTTCTGTATTTGTAGCAATCTCGCTTTATTCATGCATGGTGTTCTTGAGGTCAGCCAGCAGCACATCACGTCTGTTCAGAGTGTTCAACGTGTTCCATTTGCTCTTGAAACTCACGTGGGATATTCTCAAAGGCGTATTTGAACTCTTCTGAACTTATTTCTGTTTGCTTTAGCTTTAACCGAATTTGGATATTAACAACTGATGGTCTGTTCCACGGTTCGTCTCTGGCCTTGATTTGGCTGGTGATATTGAGCTTCTCCATCCCCTCTTGCCACAAATGTAGTCATTTTGATTCCCAGGTATGTCATATTTCAAGGGCTTGTGTACAGTTGCTGTCTATGTTGCTGAAAATAAGTATTTTCAGTGAATGAATCATTAGTCTCACAAAACTGTGTCATGTGATCTGATTATAATTTCTATCCTCTAGGCCAGATTTTCAAAGTATAGATGCTTTCTTTTATGTGTTCCCAACATCATCATTACAGTCACCAGTAATTACCGGTGCATTGTCAATGCACCGATGCATTGTCATTTATGCATCTTGCTTGATTATTGCATCAATTTCAGACTGAAGAAATTGGTAGAATTTAGTCATTATTGCCTTCCGTGTTTGGCATGTACATTTGAATAATGATAATGTTAGCTGGTATTCCTTGCAGGCATGTGAAAATATTATTCTATTACAGATCATATTGTACTTCAAGATGATCTTGAAATTCTCTTTTAAACAACGAATGTGACACTTTTTCTCTTTAATTTTTCATGCACAGTAAACCATGTGATTGTCCAACTCAAACTGGCTGATAACAGTCCAGATCACCTCAGTAATGTGTAAGGTATGACGTTTTATGAGTTTCATTTCATTTTTGATTTCCACTTTTCATAGATTTCTATTTCTGGAATTCTAATTATTAATGCATGTTTCCACAGTGTCTTCTCATTTTAAGTGGTGCCACATCAGCAAGTGAAGGTTCTGAAAGCTTTGCTGCATCCAGAAAGCGAAGATGGACTCTTCTTTGAGGAGAAAGCGCTTCCTGCGCGTATTTTGCCTACCTTCCAATCGGAGGGGCTCATCTCCCACCACGCCATCAGACAATGTTCCAGGGGTGTTCATGTGGTTTTCAGTGGGCAGTTTTTCAGAATTGGACCTTCTCTTCCTTCTTTCTGGTCTATTCTTAGTCCGGAAACTCTGATGAAGCATAGCCACTAAATTACTGTACAGTGAACCCTCGCCACTTCGCGCTTCGACTTCCGCGGCTTCACTCTATCGTGGTTTTTGCGTAACAGCGCATGCTCTGTCATTACTGCCACTGATTGGCTCATACTGTACACGCTTGATACCATAAATAATATAATAAATAATAAATGATAATTGTAATGTCCAAAATGTTTCACTGTATTTTCCCTTTTTCGTTTAATAAATTGGGTAATACAAGTGTAATGGTGACTAAAGGGTGTTTTTTCATGTCCTCTATGCTCTAACTACGAAAATATTTGATTTACAAATAAGGAATCCTACTTCGCGGAATTTAATTTATCACGGTAGGGTCTAGAACCGATTAACCGCGATAAACGAGGGTTCACTGTATAGCATACCCATATTCAGGTGCTTGATGTAGTGACTGTTGATCAGTGCTTCCCATGGTGAGGTTGTTAGAATCTTGAGCAGGGAATTCTACATTGTGAAGGACTATTCCGGGCACTGAAGGTTATGGTAGAACCCTGAGTTGCACGTACAAGTGCCCCTAGTAAGTCCCTTGTCAGTGAGACCAGTCAAAAGGTCCCATGTATTTCTGAAAGCTGCAAGGGGGCAGGGGACGTTCTTCCAGGACCCCCACTGGGACAAGGTCGAGAATCTATTGCTGTTCCTCTTCTCCAGGTGCTGCGTTTCCCGCTTTGAGTATTTGAGGATCTGGAACGCCTCCACTTTCTTTAGTCAGTATATTTCATATCTCTTGAAAATGTCCTTATTCTAATGGGAACTTTGGAGTCCACTTGGACTTTCCCTCTTTCTTGCCATGCATATTTACCCACCAAGCCCAGTGCGGTGAGCACGTTTCATGCCCTTCCCTGCTTGCATTTCTAGTACACCATCGAGCTTCAGGTTCTAGGAGTTGCATCTGACCTCAGATCTCATCTCTTTGTTCTTAGTCTACCCCGAAGTCATTTGTGAGTGGTGACAAAATATCCTTACCTGTGGCATTCCAATGACCAACGGGTCCAAGGTTTTTAGCACCTCGAGGCTGGTTTCTTGGACACATTTCTCCCCCTTTTCGTCCTCATGAGAGCTAGATTTTATTAATTTCTCCTTTAAGAAAGATGAAACAAATCACTTGCTAACAATCCTGAATGCCTTTCCCCTGGGACCTTACTTGAATACGCTCTCAGAATCTGGAGTGGCGGTGGTAGGCCCTCCACTGGAGGGGCTCATGGAAGTGAGTGGTCTTCGTCCCCCAGGCCCTTTGGAGGCACGGCTAACATAGAAAAGCAAAAAACGGTGAGGGCTCTGGAACAGCAGTTAATCTCCGTGCCATCTAGGGAATTTTGTCTCACAGTCCGCCAGGTCCTAAATAGGGTTTCTGAGACTACAGACCTCTTAGGGAGCAGTCTTATCTTTTTCCTACTGAGTGGCTGCTGAGTTTGAAGCACCAACATTACAGTCAGCAGCCCAGCACCCAGCACCCAGCACCCCCAGGGCTCCATACTCCTCAGGCCTGTGCAATCTGCTCTGGGCAAACCTTTTCAAAGATACTGCCTCCTAGTGTGGTGGACAGTGATTGCCGTTGTGGTGAACTTGCTAGGATGCTGAGTTCTGAAACACTGCTTGGCAGCCTGCTTGTCTGCAGGGAGATGGCACCAGTGGACGAGCATAGGTCTCTCTTGTTTCTTTCTCAGGCATTCCGTTCTCTCCGTGCTTCTACTACCCCCTCCCCACCCCAGCCTCTGAAAACCACTTGCCTCATCCTTCAGAAAATAAAAATGGTATTTTTTTTAAACATGCCTTGTGCTTATTATAGAATCACTGGCTGTAACAAATATGTTTGACTTAGGTTCAAGGCCAAGCAGAGGTGCTTCTGAAAGGCCTGGTGACCCACTTCCAAAAAAACCTAACACTGAACACCCACAGAGCACTGGTCTCTTAACAGGTCAATCACCATGAATTGGAGTAGATTAGATGACAAATGGTTCCGTCTGTGTTTGTATAATTTAGAAGTGCTATCAGTAAAAAGGAACTGAGAAAACTTAAGGCTGAAAAACTAACAATAGAACTAATAAGGTTGAAGTATAACCTCTAAATACGTTATTGGATAAGCTATGGAGTCTAGTGCACAGAATGCTTCACTTGGGCCTCTTTCCGTACCAGATTCTTGTTGGAGGTTGAAAACTGGGTGAAGACATAATCAATCAGAGGCCACCCTTCCCGGGGTTCAATGTAGCTCTTTTCACACATGGTTTGGATCAGGAGGAGAACAGACCTTCTCACCTGCAGTCAGAAAAACATATTTGCAGACTTTTATTATGTTAGGCATAACAGAAATTTAGCGCTTTTTCTTTAACCCTGTCCTTCATCCAACTTCCATAACCAAACACCATGTAAAGAGTTTGGTACAACTCCTGTTGAGTTTCTGAGACAGTAACTTAAGAAAAAAAAGTTTCATTAGCACTCATCCACATGTCATACAATTCAGTAATTCAATCATATCAAGAAGGGTTGTACAATTGTCACCATATTCAATTCTAGAACATTTTATTCTTCCTGTATTCATGTAATTATTATTTTTTTCTAACTGTGGCAAAAATATTCACAACAAAACATTTCCAATTCCACAACTTCTTGTATAATTCAGTGCCATTGATTAGACTCTTGGTGTTGTACAACCATATTGATATCCTTTTCCAAAGTATTTGAGACTGTAATTCTCTATGGGAGTAGAAAGTCACATTTTTCTCATCTGGAGTAGCTGGCAGTTTTGAACCACTGACCTTGCAGTCCAATACATAACCACTAGGCCACCATGGCTCCCTAGCTTTTATAAACAGGAGTATAACTTGACTGGTCTGTTTACTGTAAATAAATAAATATGTGATAAGCTACAGGTTATGATTGATTTAAAAGTTATCATTAAAACTCTTTTTAAGACCTTTAAAGATGTTAACCTCTATTTAAAATCTTCTTCCAAGTACCCAAAGACAGATCTCCTCTTACTATATGTTATGAAATTTGGGAACTTGGGCTAACACAAAAAAGCATCACATTTTTTTTAATGGTTGAAAACATTCAGATTTTATTACAATAAAATGCTGTTTTGTTTAAAAACAAAAACCAAAAAATGTCAAGTGTTGCATTTTATTCACCACCCTGGAGAACAAGACTGTAAAGATTAAAGCAGACGGTGCAGGTGAAGGCACGTGTGAAGGGCCACAGCTGGGGTGCGATAAGAACGTCCCCAGGGAGATACCTTCCCCGCGACACTCGGAATTCTTCAGCAGCCATCCGGCAGTTTTAGTGCACAAGGTACAGATAACTCTATGGCCTCACTCCGAGGTCCTCGATGATGATAGCATATTCAAGTATATCCGCAAGTATTTACCCACAATTTGAAAATCCAGCAGATGTTGAACATTGGATTCCCTTTCCCCATCCCTTATTTGGCTCCAATTCACTTGATGGAAAGACCTAACCTGACTTAAAGCCATTATTAGCTTTATTTGGTCTATACAAAGTTTATATTCTTACACTTTTATTGCAGAAATAGTAATGAATTTAATGGTGAACTACGGTGGTAGTAATGATTTTAAAAAAATTTATAAAACTATGAATTCTAAAATATATCTGATCTCAAGGTTCAGGATAAGAGATTATGAACCTGCATTGTCACTTATTAACAATTTGGTTTTAATTTGCTTATCAAACTGATTCGCTAGGGACAGAAAGCTACTTTTTAATCCTTTAATGATTAACTCCTGTAATGTAGGGTGTAAAGAAAAGAATGACCTTTAATGTGTCCACCTCCCCTCTATGTTAGCATTGGGCGGCCACCAGCATGACCTGCAGTTGGTAAATCTCTCGGCAGGGGAAAGGCAGGATTTTCTAGGGAATGATGAGGGTGGAC